TATATATATATCTTTTCAAAACTGAACAATTGGATAGCTTTCAGAATTCCTAAGGTTTGATGTAGCATCCCATTATTAGGAAGCTACCCTACAGCTAAATGTTCACTATGTACCATCGTGTTAGTAGTAAGGGCTGTGTGTCATTATATTGATTCTGATAGTGAAAACTGGAATAACCTAAAGGCACAGCTATAGGGGAGCGGCTAAATGCAATGTATCCATTCTGTGGAATGCTGCCGAGCCATCAAGAAGGTCAATTTATTTATAAAGTCCACTCACTGTCAATGAAAAGCGCAAGTCGTCTTCTGTTTTAGTTTGCTGGGGTACATAACAAATGTCTCAGGCGAGGTAGCTGAAACACCAAAAATGTATTTTCTCACAATTTTGGAGTCTGGAAGTATGAGATCCAGATGTCTGCAGGGATGATTTCTTCAGATGCCTCTCTCCTTGACTTGTTTTCTCATCATGTTTCCTCTGTGAACGACAATGCCCTACTCTCTCTTTATGACACCAGCCATATTAAATTAGGGTCCACCCTAATGAGCCCAACTAAGTACCTCTTTAAAGGTCCTGTCCTTAAACATGGCTACATTCTGAGTACGAGGGGTTAGGACTTTGATATACAAATTTGGGAGGAAGGGGGTACACAATTCAGTTCTTAATATATATATATATTTAAACCATGTGAGGGGGGGGGGACTTTTATTTTTAATCTATATTTCTCAATTACTAGACATTTCTAAATGGGTATAAATTCATATGTTATATTAAGCAATTCTTTAAACTATTATTATGGTATGTTTGCAACTTTTTTTTTCAGTTTTGCTATATGGCATGTGTGCTCACCAGAACGAGACAGGGATAGAGAGATAAAGTGAGAAATTATTCCCCCATGGGGGATGACCACACCAAAGTCCCCCCTATTCCACTCACCTCTACATTGGGGCATGCACACACATGTGCCTGCGCTGTTTCTCAAGCCCTTGGATCTGAGACTCAAACCGCACAGCCAGCCATGTGGAATCCAGCTCCCTTAACTTTCTGCGCCACCTGTCTGCCCCGTTTGCAACATTTTATGTCTGAAATTACTTCATATAAAAGGTTTTTTTTTAACAATATATCATAATAGAGTGGTACCGAGGTCTGTTTAAGGATCTGGAACACATCTCAATGGGCTGGCCACCAGCCTTAAGAGATCACAGAGTCAACATCAATAGCAGAACCAGAATCAGAAAGTCAACCAAAAGAACCACGAAAAGGCAAAGGAGAATTGAGCAACTTTCTGGAAAAAGATAGGAGAAAAGCAGCTTTCTGAGTCTCCCGTTTTTGGTGGGGGCTTTTTTATTTTAAGAGAAATTTTTGCCATAGGGTACACGCATTCACCACACAGACAGAGAGACAGTGAGAAGTCACCCCTGAGGATGGATGGCCGCATAGCAATCCCTTCTCCTCCATTCTGCTATCAGGAATTTGGGCATGCATGCACTCACGTCTGGTGTGAGTTTCAAGCTGCCAGGCCTGGGACTCACGTGGCCATTCATGTGGAAGTCCAGTGCCTTAACCACCATGCTACCTACTGGCCCCTGAGGGAGCTATTATAAAGGACTAGCAAATTATATGTTTTTGTTTTTGTTTTTTAATGACTGATCTGAAGAAAAATATACTTCTGATACTGTCTTAGTCTGCTACTGTGTTGCTAACAGAAATATCTGAGACTGGATGATTTAGAAAGAATATGGGTTTCTTTGACTCGTAACTGTGATGACTGGAAAATCCAAAGGCATGGACTGGCATCGCAGAGGCCTGTGTTACAACGTGGCTCACAGAAGTAGAGAGGATGGCAGACACAGGCAGAGAGAGACACCGGCGG